ATTAATCAGTTTCAGGTTATTTCAGCCCTATTTGTCATCAATATCCGGTATTTTCATTATAAATGTATCGATTTTAAACTGTAAAATGTGTTATCTGTTTTAGAATGTAAAGTTAGGGAGAAAAGATCATTATCAGCTGCACTAAAAAACGTCAGGCATGAGTTAGACTGATGTCATATTAATCTGTACGTTCCTTAAAAGCCGTATTGGTTGATCTCTATCAACAGTGTGTTGATTTTTAAGGTTTGATTTCCTTCTTTAGTTGTGAGTAAAGCACTGAACGGTGAGCAGCTGCTGGATGAGTCAGGCTGAGTGCAAACAAAAGCTTATGTCAAAATAAGAAGACAAAAACAAACGTGTTTCTCACATAGACCTAGACCTCACAGAAAAGCATAACAGCAGCCTGGAAAGCCCCCTGCTTCCTGAGTCAAAGCTGCGCTGTAGATCAGCCGCCCGTTTTATTGGGTCAGACTTTTAACGTTTCCAGTGAATCATTTTCAAACATTAACTCCTCCTTAGCTCCACCACCTCGTCAAGCAGGTCATCTGCTTCAGATGGTTCTAGTTTGCGGTTTAGGACACTTGGCGCACAGTGGTGAGAAAAAGGGAGGGGATGCGTTTTCAGATTGCTGTCAGCTTACGTAAAAACCACATGCTTTGGCAGAGCTATGGAATATAAAACGCTAAACGGGCCATAAAAGGAGTCCAATCATTGTATCTTAAGAAAATCTCTGTTTATGTACGGCATCCGCCGGCGGCCATAATGTCCCACTGCTATCGGCCTTCAACCACATACTGCAGATCAGCTCAGCCTGTTTCTCATTTGTTCTCTCTCACCTTACGTAACCAAACCACAAAGTTTTGTTTGTCGTGAGAAACGGGTGGAGGGACATTTGAAGTCTGACTGCAGCCCCAAACGCCATGTGGATTTAATTCACTGTTATATTAACAAAAATACAATTACATCCCCTATTGACTCGCTCCGTTACGGAGGAGCTCCATCGGCTGCATCCTCAGAATGTTTATCTATGTGACCTGCAAAAGTATTCACAAATGATTTTTTAAATCTTTATATGAAAAGTTGTATTTTATTTCTACCCCCCTTTAATATGATCTCCCTCTTTAATTGTAAATCTACAAATTAAACTCACCTTTTTAATAAGAAGAATATATCAGGGTTATGTCATTAAAAAATAAAAGTTTAATCACGTGTGTTTGCATCTTTGCCAATTTTTCTCCCCCTGATGAAATAAAAATATTATATGTCTAAGCAAAAATGACATACTTAAAAAATATATATCTTGTATTTGAGATTTTCCAATCAAGTTTTTTTAAGGACGATGCTGATTATTTTGATATTAGGCTTACCAATCCCTGATATGTGCTGCTGATATTTTTGCACCATCTCTTAAGAGCCAATATTGCTTTTTTCATCTCTCATTTACCATTTATTTTAAAATGACACGATGAAAACAAATGTTACGCAAGTCTCAGTTTAAACAAAACAACCATTCAGTAACTAATCAAAATAAACCTTTAAAGGAATAGTACACCCAAAACATGATTAGCCTTCATTTTCTACTCACCCCCATGCTGAACAACACTCTGGAGTACTTTTTTGATATCTCAAATGCATCTGGAGATCTGGGAGGCTTCTTGCTGTCTGCTGACATTCAAATAATGGAGGTCTATGGTGACCGAGGCAGAAAGGTCCATAAAAGTCCACAAAAAATGTTTCAATATTCCTCCATACTGCTCGTCCAATGTATTCCAAGTGTCCTGAGTGGGTAGCGTCCATAATTTACTCGAAACGAAGTCATTTAGAATGTTTTTAGAGCATAAACAGTAGTGTATAGGATTTCCTGAAAGCGCGCACCTGCGCGATCACGACGCTACGGAAGCCGGCAGACCAGAGGAACGGCAATGTATGTGCCTTATGTGACGTCGAGGCATGGCTGCTGAATGCACTGGTTCCCAAACCTCCTGTTTTGTTCACAGGAAAGTTTTTTATATAAGTTTGGCTGTTAATTCTGTTGTGTAAAAGTTCAGTCTAATCATATAGCACCAATTCACATCACATTAGCTTTTAAGGCTCTTCACAGACAGTTTCATCTGATCATTCGGTCAAACTGGTTCAAAGTTTTCTATCTGAGGAAAACCAGCTGATTGCATCCAGTACTGACTTTGCAGGTTTTGCTCCTCCTAGATAAGCATGTGGCAACAGTAGATATTCGCTTGACTTGTGCTTTCATTAGAGTTGTTGACTTAACAGCAATTCCCAACACAGAACATGCATGCAGCGATCTCTTTAATTTTCATCAGAACTCTGGCTTAGAAATTTTGGATCAGCTGAAGGGTTGGTAATTATAGTTTGCCAACTTCCTGGTCGTAAAGAATTACAATAATCCAGCCTTGGTATTACAAATGCATTGATTTGTTTAACATTTATAGTATTAAATAAGTTAAAAGTAAAAAATCTCCAGCTGGGTAAATTATTCAGTTATTTTCTACCATGCTCTGTGCATATCTCTTCTTTAAGCCAATGTATGGCAAAATGTAGATGATATCACTATTTTGTTGCATTTTTTTTTTTTGCTCAACAAGCAAAATACTTCGTATTATTAAAAAAAGACTTCAAATAAAGCAAAGGACTCTTATCAGTCCTGCAAACAGTCATGTGACATATAGTAAACTAAAAGCACTGAGCGTTTCCCAAACAATAAAGGCAGTGTGCTCCTGATTAAAATATATATATATATATATTCCTGATAAGAACGCAGTGAGTAATTGAGGAGGAACTAATAAATCTCAGGTGTAAACAGCAACCACACCAATGTTTTGTGTCGAGCTGTTCCTCTTCTTCTTATTGTGTTTTATGGCAGTTGGCAAGCAACTTTTTGATGCATTACCTCCACCAACTGAAATGGAGTGTGGATCGGGACTGAGCTAATTCAATATCCTACTACATACAGGGTTTCCGCGGGTCATTAAAAGTCATTAAATTATTATTTTCAAAATTAAGACCTTAATTGCCCTTAAAATCCATTAAATGTGATTATTGTGGCATTTAAAATGCTGAAAAATTTATAGATTTTTTTATCATAATAAGAAATATTGCAATATATCTGCGCGGAACTGCTTCAGAATGATCGAAAAGCCGTATGTTCGGAAAAGAAGCTCGAGATGGAAAAAAATCTAGAGAATGAGAAAATGCAAATTTCAACAAAAAGTGGCAGAAAATGAGGAATGTGGGAAATGGCTGCAGCTTGTCTACGGTAAAGATGACGCAGGATTTTGGAGTTTTTTATTTATTTATATAAGTGGGTACTTGGTGATGGCATTAAAATTATTCCTAAGAGCATTAAAAAGCATTAAATTAGAGTTACTTAGGCTACGTTCACACTGCAGGCCTTAATGCTCAATTCCGATTTTTTTGTGAAATCGGATTTTTTTGCATGTCCGTTCACACTTCCAAGTATATGCGACTTGTATGTGATCTACTGTGTGAACTGAAAGCGTTCAACCGAAGTGTCCCGCATGCGCACTCGAGGACGCGATGACGTCACATGTAGCAAGCGTCCTCAGTGTTTGCGGAAGTAAACATGACTCGTAATACCGCAGCGTATATTGCGTTCTTTAAGTTCTTCTCCAACAGGAGCAGGCACATTACGAACGAAATCTTTTTAAGAAGATCAAAAAGAAAGAGAGCCAGATTTCTTGCAATGGCGTTTTGTGGGGCAGTAATAGCAACGTCCGTACAGAGCTCTCACTGAGCTCTCTATTGACTGCTCTCTGTGTTATCTTCCGCCATGGTTGTTAGTTTTTCCCGCCTCCGCTTAGTAGGACGCAGATTAGTAACATTTAGTAACATTTGTCAAGTATCAATGACGTGTAGGTCGGATGAATGCGACCTGGCCGTACAGACACAGGTCGCATTTGAAAAGATCAGATACGTATCGGATTCAGGACCACATATCCAAGTGGCCTGGGTCGCGTTTGAAAAAATCCGATCTGTGTCGTTCAGACTGTCATAAAAAGATCAGATACAGGTCACATATGGGCAAAAAAATCGGAATTGGGTCACTTCAGGCTGCAGTGTGAACGTAGCCTCATTCATGTATAAACCCTGTACAGATGACAACAAAAGTCAAAAAAAAAAAAAAAGATTTCTCTTTTGAAGAAATCTTAACAATGAGGAAAAACCCTCTGATTTAGAGTCCGTCTAGAAGTTAAGTTAAACTTTGATTTGTTGATATCTAATTTATTTATAAATTCACAAAAAAAAGATAATGTTAGAACTGATACAGTTTAGATTACTATTTTTTATGTATTGCTATTGTTCAAGGTGGCATTTTAAAAAAGGAAATTGTATAGAGCTGTTTTAAACAAAATTTCAAAAAAAAAAACAAAAAACAAAATAAATCAGTCTATGTTTAATTAATTTCTCTCATTTACATATTTAGTGCAAAACTATGGAAGAGGATTAGGGCCACTGAAAAAATAAAATAGGTAACTGATTTCTAAATATTTCAGTTTAATATGGGGAAAAAAGTCAGAATTCTAACTTTAATCTTAGAATTAGGCGACATTTTTACGTGCCTGAGGGGTCCCTGATGCTCTTTTAATAATGGAAGAGCAGAATGTGATTAAAACAAGAGAGCTTGTTTAGTCTCTAAAACAGACATGGCTACAGCTTGATGCTAACATTTTTGTTAGCTGTCAAAATTCTGAGATTAAAGTCAGAATTCTGAGAAAAAAGTCAGAATTATGAGATTAAAGTCTGAATTCTGACTTTTTCCCCATGTTAAACTGAAATATTTAAAAATCAGTTTTGATTTTGATTTTTTCAGTGGCTTGAGCTGTTGTGTTTTGGTTTTTTTCTTTATCAACCTACTGTGGAGTGCCTGCAGGCAGTGGGCGGGGCTTTCTCCTGCTGCCTCCTGATTGGCTCCTGGTTTTTCCGAAATGCACATGCGGGAAGCTCCTCCCCCTCCCCTCTGGCTCTGACTTCTTCAGTGAGAGTTGAACTCACCAAGTCACAAGTCTCACAACTGTTCACGCGCATGGAGTCCGTCTGATGTAACAGAGAAGGAGGATGTCGCCCAAACGCCACACAAACCAGTCAAACTTGGGACTTTTTGTCGCTTTTTTCGGAGGTTATGGAAAACCAGGCTCTACTATCAGCAGCAGGGCGACACCGCGCCGCATATAGCCCCCCTGTTTGACACACAGAACAGCTTTCTAAAACTTTTTTTTTCGGTTTCACGGGGAATATTTCGTCACGGTCCACAACCAAGACACTCGTTTGACCCCGGCTTTTTTTTTTGTCGGAACCCATGACCGTTAAAGAGGAGCAGAAGCTCTTCCTCCGACCAGGAGCGCTCGGAGCCTCGTCTCCTCTCCCCCAGCGGCCGCTTCGCCCTCCAGCCACCGGCATGACCCTCGGGACGGTGTCCGGCTCCTCGGCGGTCAGCTTCTGCTCCTGCTGCGGGGCCAAGATGGTGCCCTACTTCAACGACGACGCGGTGGGGTCCAAGAATCACATCAACCAGCTGTACGTTCAACCTCTGAGAAGTTTACACATTAAATTAATGACATGACAAATACATCAGAGAGTTAAAGTAGTTGTTGCAACATTTGTCAGTTGATCTGTTTTGGGGGTTTTTTAGGTGGGGGGTATTTTCTGGTTTGCGTTTATGAGTTTTGCAATGAGAACCGACTATTTCCTGGTGATGCAGCAGGCTTTACGCATCCCATTGCTTCCTTTTGACCTAACAAAGACATATTGGAGCCTTTACTGAAGCCATGACTCACTCAACCTGTTCCTGGGATTTAAACTAACTCAATAAATGGAGGCTTCATGACTAATAATGTACTTTTTATAAGCCGTCATCATCTGATTGCCACATAAAGGGATTATCAGGTATTTTCTGCTCCTCATCTCTTTGTTTATCTGTGGGTGGAGGAAATGGTTTGATCCGAACCTGACCATAGTTGTTGGGATTAATTCCCACTCTTGCTCAGCTTGTGACTCACCCTTTGATAATTTATTGTGGATATTAAAAACAAAATCACCTGGAGACGAGATGTTGTGGTGCCAACCTCGTTTTAAAAATCCCAAATGAGCATAAAGTGGCTAGAAAGTTTTGGCTGAGTGTGGGGTGACTATAGTCTTATCTGCAATCCTGCTGTGTCTGCAGAGTTTAGTGTTTTTGTTTTGAGATATGCAAGAAAGGATTCAGAGGGTTTGTACATGTGGTCTGCCCTTCAGAACGGATCAAAGGCTAGCCTGCTCTGACATCTCCAAACATTCATGCTCTGATAAGCTCTTCAAAAGAACAACAAATCAATTAAGATGTATTACTGCAGCAGCAGGTTGGAAATCTATGGAAGCCTGTTTCCGCCACTCTGTTAAAAAAATAAATAAATTATCTTATTCTAATGAGCTACTATCTCATTATTTTGAGTTACTATCTCATTGTAATGAGGTAGTAACTCAAAATAATGAGATAATAAATTTTATTTTTTTAACAGAGTGGCGGAAATGGGCTTCCATAGAAAGCTGATCAACAACCGGAGCTGTTGTGTCTTTTTTCCACTAGAATGTGTTTTGTGTTGATGTTATTCAGGAGAGATGTGTCAGGACCGCGTTGTTTTTCAGCTGCTTCACACATGATGTTGTGGTTTAGAAAATTGGACGTGTAGCATTTTTATTGGGGCTGGAACCAGCTTTTAGAGAAACGTTTTGGGTTTTGTTCTTGGTTTTTTCTCTCTAAATGTTTGCTTAAGGGCTGTTTATGGGAAGAGGCTGATGCAAGGCACACCATCTACTGGCAGTCACATGTCTGCAAATGACAGATGTAAGAATCTAGAGTGGGTTTGGCCCAAGTATGCAGGGTTTTTTTCTATACTTAATATCACAATCTAGATTTACAGTTACAGATCTTACCTGATCAGATACTTTGGTTCTCTGCTCTAGGATTTAATCTAGAGGGGTTCATTTCTGGTCTCCATGAAATTGGTCTATTAGCAGATTCCAAAACAGAAAATATATTTTGCTGAATGGAAACACAGCTATTTAGAAAAAAAAAAAAAAACTAGTTTTGGTGATTAAAAAATGTTTTAATGTTTCGAAATTGTTATATTTTGCAAAATTGCAGTGGAGCGACTTGTTTCCCCCTGCATCATCCAAGTCCTTTGCTCTGCAACTGGACTTACTGCCTCGGTAAAAACTAGGTGTGGGTAGTGCCAAAGAAGTCACGATTCGATTCGAATCACGATTCATAGGCAAGTGATGCGATTCTATCACGATGCATCACGATACTTGAATTATTGCGATGTATTGCAATATTTTCTCCTCCATGTTTTGGTTTTGAATGACTCGGAGCAGTATCCCGCGGCCGGAAATGCTTGTGACACAAGGCAGCGTGCGTCAACACATCCACAGCAACATCTACTGGACTGGAAGTTGTATTACACTTGTTTTTGGCTGATGGTCGCCAACCATTCATGCAATTTTATTTATTCATTTTTTTTTAAATTAATAATCGATACTTGCCGTCAAGAATAGATGCAGTAGATCACGAAAATTAGAATCACGATGCATCATCATGACTATTATTTTGCACACCCCCAGTAAAAACCAGAGCCGTGGATGAAATGTGGATATATCTCATGCGTTTATAGCCACCATGTTGTTTTCAGGAGTTAATCAGTGAACAAACATGCAATTTTAATTCTGTTTTTATTTTAAGGGAACACCTAAATTGCACAAATTTATATCAGTATGCTGTAGTTTTTGTGTATGCAACTGATAAGTTTTTTTTTTTTTTTTTTTAAGTTAAAATTAGCGACGCCAAGCTAAAAATGAATGAGGAATTGTATGAAGTATTGTTAGTTTCTGGTTTAGGAAATCAAAATATTCTGTCTCTTCTTGTCCAGCTCCTTCAGGTAGATTTGCACTGATTTGATTCTCGGATATCAGCTCTGATATTGACTTATTAGCTGGATGGAATATCAGAATAATGCTGATCCAGTCATATTATTTTAATCAGTTGCAGCGAGCTTTAGTTTTAATACTGCTACATTGATAACATCAGAGGAGAGCACACTCAGCAGCTAGTGATGCTTAAAATCTGTGTTCCTTTTTTTTACGATTCATTTTTATCAGCCCATACGCTCGTGTTTGTGTATCAGATTGGATCGGTAAGAAATGGATCAGTGCATCTTTAGCCTGTGTTTGATGATTAGATATTTTCATTAGAAACTGGGATTTTAGGATTAGGCTAAAAAAGAGTCATTAATAAACATTATGTAGGTGCATTTGAAAAGATTGAGCCGTAAATATGTTATCTAAGATTGCTGTGTTAATATGGGTGTTTGAAGCCGCTTCTCTGGTCTATATCTGTTAACCTACCGAGGTGGAAGTGCTGGAATCACATGCCAGAGCTAAGATAAAGTTTCTGTTACCCCTCTAAAGTTATCGCTCAGAACTTTGTATGCTTTTAGGTAAGCTTATTTCTAGGTGTCGTACCTTTGGAGGTGGAACAATGTTTAAAACCAGCACCTTTCAGGGTAATTACAACCCAGCAGTTAATTGTTACCTGCGAGTCCTCTGCACCCGGAGCGTCACGGTTATCCTGCCAATTTAAGAAATTCCCGTGAAGCCGTCCTTCCGCTCCTCCTCTGGGGTTTTCTGATGCAGGCGTCTTCCAAGTAACACAGCAAAGGCTCGATGAGGAAGTGGAGACAACAATGTTTATTTGGAGAGTTTGAGCCGTTTGTGCTGAGTGTTTGTGGGTCTTTTTACCCTACTTGGGTTTTATCCAGGTGTCTCAGGTCTATAAGCAGTCGTTTTGTTTATTGGTTAACGGTTAATGTAGGCTATTTTAGTTTGACCCAGATTGACCTCTTCCTTTATCACTAACCCTCCTCTCTATCTCTTCTTGTTTACTTTCCTATATCTCTTGTTGATGCCTAAATTGTTCTTGTAAGAATGTGAATCAGCCATTTTAATTAACTGGATAATATTTAAAGTTAAAATCCTTTTTTTTTTTTTTTGCCTGAGGTTCAAAGTCGTACGGCCTTCGCCGGGCCGGCCCCTGTTCAGAGCCAGGCCCTATATATATCCTGCTCTCTCCTTTCCACAGTGACTAATATGGATATGAGCTGGAGGAGGAGGGGGTCACCCAGTTATCTGCCCGCTATGTGGTGTGGTTCTTACATAGTGAGGATTGTGTCTGCTTCCCTAACAAGCCTACCGCCTCGTCCAAAGCCAGAAGGACGACCCGCCCACCGTCACCCTCACAGACGGACCGGGTCGTCTGTCTTTAACCGCCGCTGCTTTTACCCACTGTGCATTTTCAACGAACTCGGTGCCCTCTTTCACGCTCTGGATTTTCACTCCATGCAGGTGTGAACCAGTGGGATATTCTCACTGTATGAGAACAGAAATACTATTAAATTAAGCTAAATTAAAACAAAATGTTTTCAAAAACACTTCAGTAATAGATTTTTGCAAATTTCTGTCCGCCAGCTGAGCAGCAGCATGTAGGGGAGGTTTTTTTTTTTTTTTTAGGTTGTATGCCCAACGCTGAGCTTTCTAAATAAAATAAAGGTTTGCAGTCGCAGCAGATTCGGTGTAATGTCTGTTAGGAAGTTTGTTGGTCGTGAATGCAGGGAGGATCCATCGCACTCACCTTCTCCCTCACCCTATGATGGGGATGAAGTCTAGAGGAGAGCTGATGGTTTCCTCCTGTGAACCCCCTTTATACCAAAACGCTGCCGATACACCATTACACAGTAGCTGGAAGTTAGAAAAACGTTAAGCAGTCGTCTGGAACATGTCAGATAAGCCGATATCCGTTGGAGAGAAATTCTTGATAAGTTACGCACAAGTTAAGGCCAATTTATGCTTCTGACGCTTAGCCTCTGCAAACGTCAAATCTGTCTCTGTGCTCGACCACGCCCCCCGCGCAGAGGTTCTGCAGCCGTCGTCGCGCACCTCAAAAATATCCTGACTACACGTCAGAGGGTCGCAAACCTGCGCAGACCTTAGGTGGAAGTGCGGAGACAAAAGGCAGCTGTGATTGGTCCTTGGTATGCATTTCCGGCTGTCTGTATGGTCGCCCTTCTCGATTCTGTGCCGGGGCGCGCCATTTTTATCCGCCTTCCGCCGAAGTTTGGCAGGAAACTGCTGTGCATCCCTAGAAATTCCAGACCGACGGTGCAGAAGCATACCAGCAAAACTGGTTTGCAACCAGACCCAAGCGACATTTGACGAGTGCGGCTGCAGAATTATAATCTGCCCTTATATCATCAAGGAGTGACGGAGCTTTAGCTAAAGTTCTTCTGTCTTAAAGCTGCAGGTTTTAATTACCAAGCTTCACAAAAAGTTAAGTTGTTTAAAGCTTTAAATTCTAATATTTTCTGCTTCTGTCTCCTTGAACCCCAGTGGGCCTCAGCAGATGGCCGCTCACACTGAGCCTGGTTCTGCTGGAGGTTTCTTCCTGTTAAAAGGGAGTTTTTTCCTCTCCACTGTCGCCACAAGCATGCTTAGTGTGAGGGATTTTATTTGAGTCAATGAGTCGATGCAATCAACTGGTTTTCCTTAGATAGAAAACTTTGTATCGATTTGACTGTATGATCTGGTTGAACTGTAAAGTGCCTTGAGATGACATGTGTTGTGAATTTGGCGCTATAGAAATAAACTGAATTGAATTAATGTTTTAATATTTGCATAAATGCTCTAAAAGTGAGCAAGGATCCAATTGGGAATCATTCTGTCTCCGTCAGCAGCATAAAAACCCTGCTGAGGCACATCAGCTGGGATTGCAGAGAATCTCCTCTGTACTGTAAGCAGACTCAGGCTATCAATAGCTGAGACTTTTTAAGGACTACCGTATTTTTAGCCGCTGCATTCGAGAGTCTGCAGCCTTCCTACCTCCTCCTACCGCCGGGCTTACGGTGTGAGTTTTTTTTTTATTTTGTAGGTGAATAAAGGTTGCATTACATTCGCCCCATGGCCTGGTTTCTACTGTAGTGGATTTAGGAGTGTGACCACAGTGGGAGATGATGCAGTAGAGACAGGAAAAGGATGGAAGATAAAAAGAATAGAAAGAAATAGAGGAAACAGCTGGGTGAGGGGAAATGAGCAAAGCATAATGCCATGGTCTTGTTTTTGCTCCTGTGTGTCTGTTGTCTCCTGCTTATCTACCAAACTCAGGAAGGTCCTCTGGATGCAGGAGAAGTGGAGCTGACATGACAGACGGCAGCATTCTTTAGTTTTTCAGCTTTTTTCTATGGAGAGTAAAGTAAAATGCACCAAGCGACCTGAATCGGGTTCATGAAGTGCACCTCTGCAGCTGAAGGCTTCAGGTTTTATCCTCCGCTCTGCTTTACTGCCACAGTAATTGGAACAAACGCATCAGGAAGTTCTGTTTGACCTACGGCTGATGACACTGGGTGAACTTTCCGGGACGCACGTTGGTTCTTATTATTTCCTCACCTGAAGCTATGAAACCAACCCTTTTTTTTTTTTTTCTTCCTCTCTCAGGCTGAACCTGTCGGGCCGCTCCTTGAATCAGTGCTGTTGTTGTGGTAGCAGCTTGAGGAGAAGCTGTGACGTGAAAGTGACCGACGTTAGATTTGACGTGTTGGAAAAGGAAGACGCACCGATCTACATTTTTTCACTTCCGATTACGATAGTTGACTTTGGATTTCTGCAGGTCCCGAAACGGCTCTGATCCCAGAGCTCAGAAACCTTTAGCGTTATCAGTCAGAAACTCGTCTCTAAAAGCTGCTATGATAAAGTTACTGCAGTGCTTGAACAGGGATTGACAGCAGTGGTTCCCAACCTTTTTTCACTTGAGTAAAGTTCCCCTCTCAGCCAAAAGTATTCATGATTTTCCTAAAGTGGAACGTACACTAACGTAACTATTTTACTGAATTTTTTTAACTTGAGCATTTAGTTCTAAGGCATTTTATGCGTTTCATCTAAAAAACATCAATATGTTGCCTGGAAGTTGGTAAGGAATCGAAATAAATACAAACTAAAATCATATTATAAACCTGGAGCTCTTCTGAGTAATTCCCTTGTAATCACATTTAAACTTGATTAACAAAAATGATAGTCAGAATGACTTAAAGGAATAGTACACCCAAAACATGATTAGCCTTCATTTTCTACTCACCCCCATGCTGAACAACACTCTGGAGTACTTTTTTGATATCTCAAATACATCTGGAGATCTGGGAGGCTTCTTGCTGTCTGCTGACATTCAAATAATGGAGGTCTATTGTGCCCGAGACAGAAAGGTCCATAAAAGTCCACAAAAAACGTGTCGTGAACTCGCAGGCGCGCACTTTTAGGAAATCCTATACACTACTGTTTATGCTCTAAAAACATTCTAAATGACTTCGTTTCGAGTAAATTATGGACGCTACCCACTCAGGACACTTGGAATACATTGGACGAACAGTATGGAGGAATATTGACACGTTTCTTGGGGACCTTTATGGACCTTTCTGCCTCGGGCGCCATAGACCTCCATTATTTGAATGAAGGCTAATCATGTTTTGGGTGTACTATTCCTTTAATTAGTTTTACTTTGTTTTGATCCAGACACCTGAGCTGCTGTGATGGGGCTTGATAGCTGGAAGTGATAAAAAACAAGTACTTTTTGGAGGGACGGCAACCTCAATTTGTGGCAGTGGCGGCGTTGTGACAGTTCCGGCAGCTCGTCGGTCTGACACGGCTTTAGTACAAGCTGGCATGGCTTATTACTGGCCAGCAGCCACTGGTTGATCCACTGGACTGCCACATTAGCTCCACGTTTACTGACACCGTTTCAGCTGCTGCAGAAGCCGTTTTTAGGCAAATAACTTATTTATAGTACCTCTAAGTAGATTGTTTTGATGTTGTGATGTTGTTGCTTAAAAAACTGTATTAAAACTTTTATTAAGTAATTTTTACTTGATGGAACGAAGCAGTTTATCTACCAATAAGTGTCCTCTGCTGACGCCGACCACTATGCAGCCACTCCGGTGGCTGTCGCTGCCGGCAGCGTTACATTCTGGATGAAAAAATCTGAATTATTTTTGCCAGATTTGAAGAAACTCTAAATAAAGAAATTTACAAGTAACCATATGTCTTCATTGCTGTAACCTTCCCGCATCTTAGAGTTAAGGAGGAGGATTCTGTTTAGAATTGTCTTCAGTATCGGGACCAGTATTAATATTCATAGTGAATCGGTGCATCTCTGCTTAAACTAAAACCGACGTTTCTGTAGAGATGATGTATGCAAGAGGATTAGGGCCAGTGGTAAAAAAAAAAAAATTAACTGATTTTTTAATTTTATTTCAGTTTAGTATGGGGAAAAAGTCAGAATTCTGACTTTGTTTCTCAGAATTCTGACTTTTTTTTCTCAGAGTTCTGACTTTTTTTCACAGAGTTCTGACTTTTTTTCACAGAGTTCTGACTTTTTTTCACAGAGTTCTGACTTTTTTTCACAGAGTTCTGACTTTTTTTTCTCAGAGTTCTGACTGAATTCTAACAATAAAAAAAGTCAGAATTCTGACTTTTTTCCCATACTATACTGGAATAAAATTTAAAAAAATCAGTTAACTTTTTTTTTTTTTTCGTGGCCCTAATCCTCTTCCGTAGATGATGTTACAGGTGGCTTCAGAGTTGTAGTTTAAGCATCCACGGTGTCTAAACTCCAGAAGTCCAGGAATCCCGTTCCTGCTGTCCAGATTGGAGCGTCTTACTCCACAGAAATGCAGAGCGGTTGATCCCAGAGCGTTCAAACCTGTTTTACAGGCGGGTTCGCTGACTCATGCGTTCCCATCACGCTGTTTGAATTCAGTGACCTCACTTTATGATGCGTCCTCCTCCTCCGGGCCGTGACCTCAGTCCAGCTAGATTAACTGTGTCAAAGGAGAAGCAAATGCTGGTTTTATTTATTTTTTTCAGACCTCGTGGTGGAGGAGGGCTCCCCCCCACCCCACCCCGGTCCCTCCCTGCTGGCAGCTGTTACTGATTCTGTCAGTGGGATCCAGCTGTGCAGACGAGCAGGGAACATTGCGTTCCGAGTTCACGCCGGGGCCCGGATCTTGTTTTTTTTTTTTTTTTTTTTTTGGGAACGTGCAGCCCACAGAGCTGAATGGCGCTTTGTGACCACAGAACTGGCCCTATCCCCCCCCCTGTGGTCTCTGGCTTGTTGTTGTGGAGTTAGGGACAGTGTGTGAAGTTCGGGGATCCCAGATGTGGTGATCTGTGCTGTTTGAGTTCGTATCTCATTTTGCCTTTTGTCCTCCTCTTCTGTTTCAGCATCAGTGAGAGTTTCCTCACAGTGAAAGGTGCCGCCCTCTTCCTCCCCAGGGGGAAGAGCCCCACGTCCAACACTGCGCCTCTCCTCAGCCAGCGCAGGAACAAGCATACGGGTACACACAGCACACCTGCAGCTTCTTCAGAGGAAATTTGTAGATGAAGTCAAGTAGAAGTGCAAATTAAATCACAGCAAAATTAAGTTAAATGCTTTAGATAATGAGCAGAAAATGCATCCAAATATTCCCTATAAGGCGGGTCCAAATGAGATGAGAACAAACGGATTACTTTAATGTTATTTGTAGCAGCTGATTACAGAAACTGATCTAAAAATAAGCACAGATCTTTAGGAAATGTTCGGATTTTCTCTCATCGGAGCAACTAAATTAGATAAAAGAAGTGTTTTTCCAATTATAACAAGATACTGGATTTGTTTCTTTCTTATTCTAAACATATTTGTGTTAAATTGTCTAACCTATCTATAAGAAAGTTTTGATCATTCAAAGAAAAATTGACTAAATTCCAGTTTCTGCAGAGCAGTTTAAATTGAGCCCAGTTCTTTGCCGCAGATGTTTCCCAAACATTTTAAACTCTGCTTAAAATACATGAAATCACTGCAATCTGTATTTATTTAAATATATAAAGTGAAATAGTTTTAAATATATACTTTGATTCATTGATTTTATTGGAATGCATTTTATACATCATGCAAATATGCTGTATTCAGCTAAAGAGGATTATTTTATTCTATTTCCCCTAAATATGGGAGAACAAACTAGCATAGATGAACTTTGGTTTATGACAGATTTTAATGTTTAGATAAAAGTAAAAACAAGCCACACCCATTTTAAGACATTGATTTAAAAATGAGTCAAAACATGAGTACAGCTTTTTAATGACATTCCATTTAATGACATTTTATTAGTTAATTTAACATTTAAAAATACTTTTATTTAATAGAAGGTTTAATTGTGCAATTTTTATTAGAGAAACAGAAACTGTTCCGTCTGTTTTTTACTTTTATTTCTTTTATTCTCATTTCTGTCCTTCAGTATGTTTTAGCTCTGTTTAGGGATGATCTCATAATGATTGTGAAAACCATCTTATGACCTTTGACTTAGTGTCTCCCGACCTGCTGGAGGGTCACGACCCCCGCTTTGGGAACCTCCTGCTTTGTAGGGTAGGAGTAGAGATCAGGCGGTTAATTAGGCTACGTTCACACTGCAGGCCTTGAAGCTCAATGCCGATTTGTTTTGTGAAAAATAAACTTCCGTTGCCGTTTACATTTCCAAATATTTGCGACTTGTATGTGATCTCCTGTGTGAACTGCAGTCATACAGCTTAAGTGTCCTGCATGAACAGTTGAGGCAATGAAGTAACAAGTAAGTATGCTCTGTGTTTACGGAAGTAAACATGTATGGTAGTGCTTAAAAACTTTAAATGACCCAGATTTATGCTTAAAAACTCAATCTTTTCAAGATGGTTAATCATGAATGCTGCTCCCCGCATCATTTTCCGCCATGGTTGTTGTTTTTCTTTCGCTTCTGCGTAGCAAGAAACAAAATAGTGACCTTTGTTGGGTATTAATGGCGTTCAGGTCGGATGAATGTGACCTGGCCGTTCAGACACAGTTCGCATTTGAAAATATCAGATTTGTATCGGATTCAGGACCACATAGCCAAGTGGCCTGGATCATTGGAAAAAATCTGATCTGTGTTGTTCAGACAGCTATGAAAAGATCAGATCCAGGTCGCATATAGGCAAAAAAAATGGATTTGTTTCACTACAGGCAGCAGTGAGAACTCAGTATGTCCGCTGAGGTTGGCAGGGGGCACTGTATCCCTCTCTGATCGCTTTAACTGGTCAGCCAGCTGACCAGCAGTGTGCAGCAGTCGGGGATAGACAGAAAACTGCTTGAGGCGTTGATGGGGCTTCATGAAGGTTTTGGAATTGGGATGCAGGCTGATGTGTAGGAGAGCCTGTTGTGAGCTCACACCTCAGAGGGAAGTGACACACCATCAGAGGTTTTATGTCTCTTTGTCTTCTAATCCTCGGATTATGATCCAAAATAAACAGAAACCGAAGTGAAACGACTAAAAGTTTCTTTTCTTTCCCTCCAGGCGACCTCCAGAAACACCTTCAGACCATGTTCACCGTGCTGCGGCCTGAGGACACCATCCGCCTGGTCAGTGACACACGGCGTAGCATTACCTCGGCCTGGCGGTGGGACGGGCCTACGTCAGCGCCGGGTTTCACTTCTTTGTTGGGCTGCATAAAGAAGTGAAACCTGGCTCGGGTGTAAAGCAAGCATAAGAAAGTAGAATGCTCAGAGGGAAGGGGCGTAGTGCTTTTCTCTTCTTTCATGCCGTTTATGTTACAAAAAGGCTTGTTGGAGAGAAAAAACCAAAACAAAGGATGGTGCAGAGCTTACAGCCAAACAGTTTCCCTACGTCTGTCTGTGTGGAATTAAAAACAAAACAAAAGAGTTGAACAACTTTTCAAATTTTCTCTTTTTCCTTTCCCCGTCCTTCCAGGCTGTGCGTCTGGAGAGCGCCTACCCTCAGGTGACCCGTTACATGGTGGTGGTCTCCACCAACGGCAGGCAGGATACAGAGGAGAGCATCGTGCTCGGCGTAGACTTCGTCTCCTCCGATAGGTCAGTTCCCACGGCAACGGCGAACCGCTATGTTTGCAGCGTCATGACAACAGCTCAGCAGAGACTCTCTCTGCAGTAATATCTATGCTGTTTTTCATACCCGGTGTTTATTTTGATCGCCCTGTCCTTGTTTACCCATAAACTTCCTGCTTTAACTCATAAACACGTGTAACCGGCTGTCAGACCAACCGCAGATTTGCTTGTCGATGTCTCCCTGCAGCTGCTGCACTGTGGGGCTGGTTTTACCGCTCTGGAGCGACACTTTGATCCACTTGGACGGAGACGGGTAAGTCACCACACCTATGCCACACTTCCTCTCGACGCCCCTGGAGGACTGCAGCCGCGTTTCATTCCACTCCTCATGCAAACATTTAAATAAAGAAAATGCTGATTAGTAGAAATCGACCCATAAAGGTCCGTCTAACTGCTGTGTGCTGCCACACTGCAAAAATATAAATCTTACAAAGTCATTTTTTTCTTAAAATAAGTACATTTGTTCTTGAATGGAACAAGACAATTTACATTTAAAATAAGAAAAAGCCATTGCTTTGTCTCATTTCAAGTGCATATTATCTAATTATTTTATTTTAAGAGTAAAACTACTCATTCCATTGGCAAATCATCTTATTTACCTGCTCAAATTAAGGGTAAATACACTTGATTTAAGGCGTTTTTACTCATTTCTAGATCGTTTTTGCAGTGCAATAATTTTAGGCCCACACTCATTCTTCTTCCTTGATAGAAATGACACGATAACAAATGTTACTCCATTTAAGTAAAAAGAAACTACCGTATTTTCACGACCATAAGGCGCACCGTACTAAAAGGCGCAGTCTCAGTTATGTGTCCCATTTCTGTATTTAACACACACATAAGGCGCACCGGACTATAGGGCGCGTTTTTTATATACAGGTACATGTCCTCTACTACCTTTAAATACCTCTACTGCGTATTTAAAAATACAGCGGGGGCAAAACTGAGTATGACTGTGCTTTATTCATGTATTTATTACAAAGTATTAATCAAACCTGGCAGCTGGCCGTGAGACAGAGACATCTCAGATGACACAGCGCTGTGATCACTCCTAAATTAACTTAAAATCCTGAAACCTGCCGACGGAATATGTTCGCTTTTATTACCGGTATCCTGGTGCCTGCAGCTAAAATTATTTAGATGAAAAACACCTGCCAGCAGCCGCCGGTGAACCTGGAGGCTGCTGATGAAGAGATTTCTACTGTCGGCGCACCGCTGGTATGTGGGGGTCTGAGCGCCTCCGACAGAAATAGATAATCTGGATGAACTGACTGCAATTATTAAGTTTTCAGGTGGACTTTCTCACTTAAAAACATATTAAAACTACTTTATTCCCACTGATCACAGCAAATATAGCTGCAAGATTTAGATTATTTAGATGAAAAAACACCTGCCAGCCACCGCGGTGGAGAGGAGGAGACCCGCCCAGACCCGCCCTGCTGTTGAATTAAGTTTTCAGGTAGAAAAATAGAGCGGGAGCAAAACTGAGTATGATTGTGCTTTATTCATGTATTTATTACAAAGTATTAATCAAACCCATCAAAGTCATCATCCTCTGTTTCTGAATAAAACAGCTGCGCTAAATCAGACATGCCAATTTCTCCTTCTTCGCTGTCAGTCACTTTCCGTGCAGCGCAGCTCCTCAGAAATAATGCCGGCTTTTGCAAAAGCTTGAAGAAAAGAGCCAGCAGACACGTTAGTCCAAGCATCTACAATCCATCTGCTAACGGTGGCGTAACTTGCCCGGCGCTGCCTTCCACTTATCCTGAAACTGTGGTCTCCGTCTGTCTCGCAGCCTTACTTTGAGCGGCCGCTTCACACCGATGTCGAGCGGTTGAAGCTCCTTTGTCAGACCCCCGGAATAACGGCGAGCACAGCGTCCATTTGATTCACCTTTTTTTTCACATCAGCTGTGAGATGGGCACGCATGGAGTCACATATTAAAAGCGATGGTGATGCGTGGAAAAAAAACCACCTGGTCTCCTCACATAGCCTACACCTCCCTCAGCCACGCTTTCATCATCTCATCCATCCAGCCCTTTCATTTGCTTTAAAATCATTTGTCATCAGAGCGCTGTGTCTGTCTCGCTGTCAGCTCCCAGATCAGCTTCTCTGATTGGTTGATGCGGCTCTTCCAACAGCAAAACTTAAATTTTTTCCATCTCGAGCAGCAGCAGCGCGTTGGCGGTGCGCTCCCGACTTGCTGCTTCTGCTGCACCTGCTGCGCTGCGGGACCTTTTGCTGCGTCTATACGCTCGTCAACCGTTGACTTTGCATGTAAACTCGCTGCTTCTGCTGCACCTGCTGCATCCGGTTCACAGCGAGCACAGCATTAATTTGTTTTACCATGTTTTTCACATCAGCTGTGAGATGGGCACGCATGGAGTCAGATTAACAGCGATGGTGATGAGTGGAAAAAAAAACACCTGGTCTCCTTACATTCAGCCACTCTTTTATCATCTCCTCAATGAGGTGGTCTCAAAAGTCGCAGTTGCAACACACATAGGGCGCACCGCACCATAGGGCGCACCGCACGTTTTGAGGGGAAAAAAAGACGTTTAAGTGCGCCTTATAGTCGTGAAAATACGGTAATAAACAATGTGTTTATCTCAAGGCATGGCTGCTGAGTGCTTTAATGAAAACGTGTCGACCAATGCAAGAAAAAAATGATAATGTAAGCCAAAAGTATCGCTCTGCTGATATATAGACAAATACACTTAAAACCACCTTAACGGGCCTGTATCCTTTTAGTCATTTGCAAAAAAACAATTTAATTACTTACTTTTTGGTCTTTATTGAAGCCTAATTTTCGTACAAAACTGAAGTTATAGATGCATATCACATCATGTTGCGCATGCATATTGACTATGGGTATGCTGGTCTGACAGAACAGCGGCTCTTTATCATTATTTACAGCCATGGGTGGTTCTAGACAGGGGCCAATGGGGGCCAGTGCCTCTGTAGATCATGTCCTGGCCCCTGCACTGAAGACATAATACTCAAAAAAATTCTAATGATGAACAGACATGGTTACTGATAGGTCTTTTGGATCTATTTATTTATTAATTTTTTTGCTTCACAAATTCTGTTTTAATAATTATTTAAAAACAATAAGGTGGTAGCTTAGGATCCAGGTTTTTCATCCGCTAAATGTTTTTTTTTTTTAAACAAATTTTTAAAAAATACAATAATTTTTACAGCTGAATTTATCATTTTTTCTTTATTTATAACTCTGATTTTATAGAAAATGGCAATTTCAACCTGAATTAAGTCAAAAATACACAAAATTCCTGAATTATGTAATGTATATTCTAGAGATGTCCCGATCCAGGTTTTTGCACTTCCGATCCGATACCGATATTGTTTTTTGGACTTCAGATCCGATACCGATACTGGCCGATACCAGCCTATCCGAGCATGTATTTAAGTTTAAGTTAAAGTATTTAGCCTTAGTTGTAAGACTCATGTTGAAAAGGGTTTTAGTACTCTTGATAACATCTAGCCAGCTGAATTAGGTGAGATTGAATAAAACACAATGCTTGGTAACAACAAACTTACCTGTTTATTAAGAAATAAACACAAACTGGACAAAATTATGAATAGCAATCTGAAATTGCACAGTGAACAGTAAAACCGTAAACTGTTAAAGGTGCAAGTATTACTGTAAGTTTTAATAAAAATGCAAAACAGGGAAACACGGGCGCAAAATAGTGGAATGGATCGTTTCAATCGGCGAAACTGGAAAATACGGACCGGATTTTTTTTTAAAAACTGGATCGGCAGTCTGGATCGGCATATTACATGCTTTGCCGATACGCATTTTTTTGCCAATATCGGCGTCCCGATCCGATACGTGGATCGGATCGGGACAAGCCTAGTATATTCACCTAATAACACATAGAATTTTAATTAAACTAAATTGAATAGAAATGTGACTTCATGCAGCTCTTTTAATGTATTTGAATCCCTGGCCTCTTTTTTTATTTCATGTTTTTCTGGGCCCCCATGAAAACACACTGGCCCCCTCCTGGCCCCCTGGTACATTTGGTCTAGAACCACCACTGTTTACAGCCATTGCTGAGTGTCTAAAGAGCCCCAGGATGCAGACCCGTTTCAGAACATTTAACTAATCTAACCAGCCTAAGAGAGGCTGATTAGAATTTTGTTGCTTCCATTAAGCTCTTCTTAGGCCATACTTTTAAAACGAACATAAACATGTGGATAAAAACTTGTATTTTTAAGAGTGCATTTTGCCACACAGCCTGTCATAATCTGTTAATTCGGTGTCTCTGCAGAGGCTTCAGCGTGTCGACGGTGAACAGGGTTCACGTCTTCAAGCCGGTGTCTGTCCAAGCCATGTGGTGAGACTCTTCTTTGTTTAAATACATCATGTCTTTTGCTCACTGCTGCCCTTTTGGCTTTGACCTCCTGCTTTTATCTTCCTTCTTTTGATCTTAACATTTCTCATTTCTCCTGTCGTACGCACGCCAATGCGACTTCCTCGTGTTGTATTCCCTCTGCTCTTCCGTGTTCCCGTCTCTGCAAAGCTTTGATCCTTCTCGTCTCACTTCTGGTGTCGAAGCATCAAACATTTGTTGTGCAGCTTGAGGCTCATCTGAGGGAAATCCTCCTCCTTCTGTTACCTCCAGGTCGGCCCTGCAGTCGCTGCACAAGGCGTGCGAGGTGGCGCGCTGCCACAATTATTACCCTGGGAGCCTGTTCCTGACCTGGGTCAGCTACTACCAGAGCAGGGTCTCCTCCAGCCAATTCTGCGTCAACGAATGGAACGCCATGCAGGACGTGGAGTCGCACCGTGCCAACTCGCCCATCCTCTTCACAGACCTGTGAGTCGCTTCAGTGTGAACGTTCCCTTCCTGTTTGACAAAAGCAGGTCGGAGGAGAAGTGCGAATAAATGAAAGCTTTTCATCCTGCATGCAAAACGCGCTTAGGTGCAACATCTGAGGAAAAAACAAATGCACGCCACACTTTTCAGATTACATAATCTAGGTGTTCGATTCTCCTCTTTAAATGTGCTGCTTTCACAGAATCTGCAGATGGTCTATCGTTAGAGCGGCAGCGTGAACTCTGTACCCGACGCGTGTAAACGGGGATCAAAGATAAGGCGGCCCCATTGCTTCGTCCTTCGCCTCCTAACAGCCTCTGTGGAGGAGATGATTGTGGTTTTAACATTTCAATCAGCGGGTCTGACCTGTAAACGGCTCCCAGCTGAGAGAAGCCTTAGAAAGTAGAGGAATGACGCCTCCTGTCTGTATTAACAGCGGGGAATTTCCCCTCCAGGCACTTCAGTTCACGTGGCCGGCCGCCAGTTTAGAGCCCCCCCCCCAACCAGAGTCTTCAAAATAGCAAAGGCTCCGTTTACTTAAGCAGAAAAACTGAAACGCAGACGAAGGCAGGGGGGCTGAACCGCTGCGCCTGATGGATGGAGACGAGTCGGAGCTGAGATGAACTTTAAACCTGACCTGCCTGAACAGAAATAATGATTCCTCCCCTTCTTTTTTTAGTCACTTATATCTTATTTGTCTTTTTAAGGATAATCATGACATGAAATGTAGAACAGGAAAAGAAAAGATAAAAGGAAAGTCTGGGAGACGCATCGATTTTCGCATCAAGCCGTTTTTGATTTTTTTTTTTTTTGTGTCCATTAGTGCTTCCTGTAGTCTTCCTGTAGTTCTAGGCCATTTCTCAATTCACGAGAAGGCGAGTACGGACTCGTGTCCTCACCGAGAATGTTCTAGAGAAGATCACAGGAAAGTCTGGACTCTGGGAGAATGGGAGCACGCAGCATAAATCTGGGTCAATTGGAAGAGACGCGTACTGATGACATCACCACACGCTCGGGTCGTCTGGAGCTTCATTTCACCTCCTGTTATTAATAGTCTCTAGATAATAATAAATTCTTACTTTTTTAATTTATTGGGGAAATAATAATGAATGCAGTCAGAAACACTAAATAAAAACTCGCCGTCAGTGCCAGCCATACTTCACACACGGCTATACTGATAGAGGGCTGCTGCAGAGAGGCTAACGTTAGCCCTGGCTGCAGTTAGACTTGGAGGTCTGCTGGTTGCCGCGGCCCTCCCAACTTTGGAACTTTTTTTTAAAATTATGCACCAAATCAGTAAATGGGCCGTATAGTGACGCTTAAAAGCATAATTTTCTTGCCTATAATGATCTAAAAACATATTTTATTGAACAACGGCAACAGAAAAGAGAACTTTTAACTTAATACTCTAAGTTCTGATGAAGATTCTCAGTCATCCAGGTTATAGTCATTCTGTAAAAGTTCCAAAAAATATCCACTGGACTTGGTTTCCAAGATTTGAAGACGTTACGGAATTAATACTCTGAGCTCTGTGAACGCAAACCTGGAAGCTGCTGCCGCAGTGCATGCTGGGACAGCTGTCAATCTGGTGAACGGAGAAGTCTGCACTGATGCGGGTGCGGTGCGTGGTTAGCACACACAACCCATAGGCCTTAGTTCTCGACGCAGCCGCCCCGGATTTGAATCCGACCTGTGGTCCTTTGCTGCATGTCTCCCCCCCTCTCTCATACCCCCTTTCCTGTCAGCCTACTGTCCAAAAAGTGCTGTTAAAACAAAGAAAAATGCATGCTGGGTAAAGAGAGAGGGGCAGAACAACATCCAGGGACTTTCTCTGTTCTTGGTCTTCATGTTCTTGTGAATTGGAACTAGGTACTAGGGCTGAGACTGATGACGTTTCACGAGTGCACGAGAACGCACAAGTACACATATTGAGAAACGGCCTTAGTCGTTCCTTAGACCTTTCCATTACAGGTATGTCTTCTATTGCAGATATCCATTGCCCCTCGTTCTTCATCCATTTCCTCGTCATACTGACTCCTCCCCTTCTTTGTGAAGTTATGTTTGCCCTTTAGTCAGATTACTCAGACTCTGAGTTACCGTCTTCTCTATTTTTTTCCCCCTCCATACCAAGCGGCTGCCAAAGCTCCCTGTGTTGTTGACGCATGAGTCGTTTCCCCTGTAAAAACCACTGAGCTGTTTATTTATTTGACATGCAGGTTTCACTGTTAATACCTGCAGGGCTCTTATCTGGCTGCTCTTCAAGGAAGCAGTTTGAAATTTCCAGCTTCAATAGAACCGCTCCTTGTGTCGTCACTTACTGGTCAGAGCCTTTATTGACTGTTTCCATGCTCGGCTAATTTCCCCCCATCGTTCGGGACATCTGCAGGCAGGCCCAGGCTTGTTGAGAGGTCAAAGCTGGCTGGACCTCCGCAGCTGAAACTTTATCTGTTTAGTGTTGCTCTCTCTGTTCTGCACTGAATCTCATTTTGATGTGATCAGATTTTATTTATTTGAACGCCATTGTTGGTGTCTGACACCAGAGATTGATAATATCATTATTTTTTGTTTTCTCCAGGTCCATGAATGTCGATTTATTAGTCCTTTTTGGCTGCAAGGATGTAAAATATTCTCGCTGATATATTATCATTCAGTTGGTAGATTATGCATGTTTTTGTTGAATCTTTGTTCATCGCAGTTTGCTGATATTTTCCTTAAACGCATAGGAAACATTATAATCTAATAATCAACAACTCAGTTAGCAATCACTTAATCGTTAACTGCAGTAGACTGTAAGATGTGCCTTAAGCTGACAGAGTGAGCAGTAATTAAATCAAAATTGTGAAAAACATAAAATAAACATTTTGCATTTAAGATAAAGTGGTTTTGTCTGTCAAAATGCTCTAGTTTTAGTTTCACCTCCTTTAATTTCGTTAAAAAATCCTTTTTAAGGAACCTTTGTCTATCCTATTATTAAAAAAAATAAGCAACAGATTAATCAATTTGCAAAATAATTGTTAGTTTCAGCCCCAGATCAAACCATAAGCATCTTAACCTCAGTTTTATGTGACACCCTAGTGCTACAAAAAAATCAAAAAATAGCCTTTTGTACCTTTGAATTGAAACAGAGGAGATGCAAATATGTGATCTTTATTTAGTTTTACCGCTGATATTATCCTGTACTGAAAACATGCAGATATTCCACAGTTTTTCTTTCGGATCACCTTCTTTTTTTTTCTTTTTTATCCACTGTTAATGTTTTGATTTGAATACTTTTTTCCTTTTTGGCTTAAATTAGGTCTCTAGTAAATTTTATTAAATATTTTCTATTATTTTGTAAATCGAGGAAGATAAAGCCACATTGATTTAAAATTTCGGCCTAAAAACTCATCGGCACATAACATGGATCATTTAAACTGATGCCCAAATAATCAACAACTACAGATTCTGGCGTTTTAAGGCCAACGTCGTTACCAATTATTGACATCAGTCTAACCGGTGGCTGATTTTTGCTAACTATAGTTTTTGACCAATTTTTGAAGCCAATAAAATTTTTCTTTCCTCCTTTTACGTGATAAACATGACAAATTTTAGATTCAAGTCTCAAGTCAAACATAAATTTAACAAATCAAAACATTGATAATTGGTAGCAAATTATGGTTCTAATATATGGGGAATAATGTTTGTTCAAAAACATTATTTTTAAAATTGCAACAAAAATTAATTGATTACCGCAAAAAACGAAATGTTGAAACTGAAAGGAAATGTTTTCAAACTACTTTTAAGTGTAAAGATCTTAAATTTGTTTTAGTTTCAAACTACCCATGCCCCCATGGGGGCGGAGCTAAGATGACATAAGGACTGGTGACTGACGGTTAAGACAGGACAAATGATCACCAGTTGCTGCATTCAGGAACCGTAGGAACTTTTAAAATGTCGTAAAGTATCAGTGATAATTTAAGTCTGCTTTAGAAAAGAAAAGCAGCTTCATTTTTTTTTTCTTTTTTCAGTTTCCAGTTAATTTATTTTACTTTGCTTTGCAATTATGTTCAGATTCAAATCCTTCTGTTCCAATTTCAAAAATACTTTTCAGTTTAAAATGTTTTATATTTTGGTAGTTTAAACCAAAGATGTTTTTGATCAAACTTTGACGACTGAATCGACCAACTGCCTCGCATATCGGCCGACACTAGGGGAAGAAAATACTGAAAACCTCGTCTCTCTAAATACAAACCTTTATTAGTCGTCCTCTATCTAACATTCAGAGTAAAGAATGGGAAAGACTTGAGCCTGCCCCCCCCCCAGAGACCTCATTAGGCCACTTGTTGGTATCATCAATGTGACGTCCAAAAGCTAAACGCGTCTCCTGGCACTGAAGCTAGAAACAAAAGCCGTTTGTTTTGGACACGCCAACAGGTCGTGCTCCCTGGTTTCTATTCCCTCTGCAGTTTCTGAGAATCGGACAAAGTGGCTATTCTGTTTTTGGAACAACCAACCTCACTGAGGCCCGTGGCAAAGGGTCACTACTGTGACTCTGAAGGAGGATCATTTTCTCTCTGTGGAGATTCTAAAACGGCTTTACTGTCTGCAGGCCGACAGAGAGGGAACGCACCGAGAGGCTGATCAAGATGCGCCTCAGGGAAATCATGATGCAGAAGGACCTGGAGAATGTCACCAGCAAAGAGGTGAGAAAAAGGATTTTAGCTGAAATCGGATGCTTGGATTGGATTTGAATTCAAGTCGTAGGGAAGCCATATTTAAATGTCAAATCATTCTGACTTAAACATGTATATAAATGTACTCTTTATCAGAAGATTTACTAAAAATTTAGAAAATTTCTATAAAAAAATAAATAAAAATCCTGTCTTAAACTTGTGGTGTTGTTTTTTATCGTTATCTTCTGCAGGCCAGTTAGTTCTACGTCAGCCTGAACACATAAATTCGGCCAATCATATATCAACGGTCGTCTGTCAATCAAATATTTTCGCTCATAGCATCTTGATTCATATGTCGCAGCTAATATACACAACAGTTGAAATCAGAATCCTTTCCTTTCCCATTGAGTTCCATCCCAGTGTTCACGGGGATGGACGTCTGTGTCTTCAGCAGGCGTAGAGCTAACAGAACTGGCAGCGTTGCGAGGCAAGGGCTCAAACATGTACGGCTGGAAGCCCTCTACACCAAACCAAGCTTCTGCCGCCCTGGCGTCCTCTTCCCCAACATCTTCGTCCCCGCTTTCCTCCTCTAAATAAAAAATGGATGACGGAGGAGACTCACCCACGACCTCCGACACTAAACTCTCCTCCTCTTGCATGTTTCCGCTGTCCATAGCGTTCCTTGACAGCGTCGTTTCTAAGTCACCAATTTAGTGCTACTTGATCCCAATGGAATTTCCCATTGGGAACCTGCTAGCACTAAGTTGCTAACTGGTTAGCAACATGCTTCCGACAAACCATCCACAATAAAACTTGCTTGCGAACCTTCCGCCACAACAATCCCCTTGATAAACAACCAATCACATTCACTTTATTTGCTCGTGTAAATTCGGAAATGCAACAGTTGGAACAGCCGCTTCCCTATGACTTTAAGGGAACCGAGAATTTTGGGCTGGAAAGAAAATGCAACAGTTAAGAAACAAAATAAAATGTACCAAAGACGTTAAAACAATTTTCTAAACTATGCTTTTGTTTCGTTTTTTTCTGCCTTCAGATCCGAACAGAGCTGGAGATTCAGATGGTTTGTAACCTGAGGGAGTTTAAGGAGTTCATAGACAACGAGATGATCGTCATCCTGGGACAGATGGACAGTCCAACAGAAATCTTTGATCACGTCTTTCTGGTGAGATTTCACCATGTCTGCAGAAAATAATCAATATTACGTCACTGGTCTGAATTTAGCCTGTAGGTCGACATCCTGGTAGTAAAACTTTTCTGTAAGGTGAAGATCTGGGAGCTTTTAAAGCTGATTAAAAATAGTTTATTACTTAATGTTTGAACCAAATGATCCATCGATTTAATCCAGAGGTTCCAAATGATTCATTCTGTGACCCAAAAATAACTAGAATTAATTTGGGTATAAATACTTAAAGTGAACTAACTGTGTATGCACACTTACTTTTAAGTTGATTTATATTCATAAAAGGAGCTATGTTATTTAATTGATATAAATATATAATATAAATATTCAAATGTTATTTATATGTAAAATAATTATTTATATGTATTATAATGTAAAAAAAAGTATTAATGACATCTAATTATTTCATCATTTTAAATGTATTTTAAATGTGAAATTTGATTTATTTCACATTTAATGGTATATTTGACGTTCAAATAATGTCTTAGATAAAAGTGAAATTAGTTTATTTTATTCACATTTAATTTGTGTGACTTCTTTATCTCAGAGATTACATCAATGCCTCGTGTCTTGTGGCCCCTGAAGCGGGGCCCCTGCTTTAACCCCTTCAGCCCAGAGGGTCTTAGGAGCAAATTCCACCTTAAATTATATATGTGAATAAAAGCAAGTGCAGCTCCCAAACTATGAATTGGAAATGCAATTGTTTGTATTTTTTATTTATTTTTTTTATTCTTTATTTCGAACATGCAAGAGAAAAACAATAAAACAATGTTTACCTCTATTAGATGTGCGAAAAGGAGTAGGAAGAATTAAAACTTATCTGCTCCTACATTTAATTCTCGTATTTCTTCAATTTACAATATTTATAATTATGTTGCTATATATATTCATATAAATATATACCTACCTACACATATACATACATAAATATGTATACACATATACCTTCATACATATATACAGATAAACAAAACAAAAAACACAAACAAAACTTTCTACAATGCTTCTCTATACCTTTTGAAAATAATCTCTTTTTTTTTAAGGAATATGTTTGGGCATTGCTTTAGGTTCTCATTTAGTTTGTTCCACAATTTAACTCCACAAATTGATAAACATAATCTTTTCCTTGTTCTACATCTATTAGTCTGAAAATTTGTGTAACAGAAAGTCATTTAGGAATAGTTTTCAGGTGGAAGCACTATTAGAATTATCGGCTAAAATTGAGTACGTACTGATGTATTACTCCTGCAGAGTCACGCATGTCAGGTGGAATTTCAAATCTCATTTTATTTGTTTACACAGCTGTAAAACAAAAATACTTGTGATAAAATAATTTTGAAAAATGTTTTGGAAATTTTAAAGCCCCATTTGAAAGGTGTGTGGATGAAACACCATGTGACTGTGTTTTGGAAATTTCTATAAATAGATAAACATGAGCAGGTGTCAGTTGGGGGTTAAAGGGTTCAACTGTTTGCCTGTTTGTTGAAGCGACGATCTGCAGAATGTTTGGGAATCTGTCGGTTCTGACCGGGTCTGTGTGTCGTTCCTTCAGGGTTCTGAGTGGAACGCCTCCAACCTGGAGGAGCTGCAGAACAGCGGGTAAGAGCCCGGCCTCTGAGGGCCTCTCAGCCTAATTAGGGCTGTAATTAGCAGAGCGCCGCCTATCAGTGGGAATGAATGAAGCTTTTCTGCAGTGAATGAGTGAATCCATCGTAGTAATTACATTTCCAAGAAACGCTGCGGATCGTTCGGATCTCTTCATAACGCCCCTCCCCCGCTCTGCGTCCATCTTTCAGAGTGCGCTACATCCTGAATGTGACCCGAGAAATCGACAACTTCTTCCCAGGGATGTTTGAATACCACAACATCAGAGTTTACGACGAGGAGGCCACCAACCTGCTGGAGTACTGGAACGACACCTACAAGTTCATCACCAAAGCCAAGTAGGGGTCCGCCGCTCGCTGCAAGGCGCCGACGCCCCCCGCCGGCCGCTCTAACCCTGTTTCTGCTTCAGGAAAGCCGGAGCCAAGTGTCTGGTTCACTGTAAGATGGGCGTGAGCCGCTCCGCCTCCACGGTGATCGCCTACGCTATGAAGGAGTACGGCTGGGACCTGGACACCGCCTTCGATTACGTGAAGGAGAGGCGCACTGTCACCAAGCCCAACCCGTCCTTCATGAAGCAGCTGGAGGAGTATCAGGGAATCCTTCTGGCCAGGTATGATAGGCGTTTTCTCTAACATGTCCTCCATAATAAAAAAAAAGTTGCATAATTTCAACAAAAACTAAACATTTAATCACAAACCAGCAAAAACCTGAACAACAGCGTTTCATTTGATCGTAAAGCTGCTTAACGCACTGATGGAGCGACACCAATACGGGAAGGAAGGAACGCCATGATGGCGTCATTTCTGTGACACTGAGCCCAGTGAGACCAATGTGTCGTGTTTAAGCTCCTTTTCTTCACTCGTTCTGCTTTATCTCTGCGCTCATGACGTGTTTAACTGCATCCTTACTAATGCAGCCTGTAAATCAAAATACTGCACCTGCTGTGGCAGAGATTACAGAACCAGATGGAAGGATTCTCAAAAAAAGATCCAGACTAATAAAAATAACACTTCTGAGATACTTAAAGGGATAGTTCGGTATTTTTGACATGAATCTGTATGGCATCCCGATCACCAGCGGCATGCAATCACACTGACTTACCCCTGGCAGCGTCCTGTGAGCAGAGTTATCGTCCAGTTTTGGTCAAGCCGAAAGTAGTCCTGCAGGTTTTTAGGAACAGCGAAATAAAACTTTTCTCTTCCCAAAACATTATGTGTCCAAAAGAGTGATATTTTCGCATCCCAAAAACATTGTAGTGGAAAAAGTCACACGTCGTTATCAATTGGTCCTATTTTCTCTCTGTTCGTATCAGTGCGCGCCGTCATTCAGACAGCGAGCCCAACAACAGCCATGTCTCCCTCCGCGGCGGAGGGAGACACAGGACGCTGCCAGGGGTAAGTCAGTGTGATTGCATGCCGCTGGTGATCGGGATGCCATACAGATTCATGTCAAAAATACCGAACTATCCCTTTAAAGGATAAGTCCGGTCAGCAAAGAATAATCAATGTATCATTATCTATACCTGAAACTAATACGTTAATGGTGATTTAATGAATGTATCGTTAATCTGTAAAAAAAAAAAATGTAAACAATAATTTTCGTTGCGATCACATAGTCTGGGAGCGGCCATTTTTGCCCAAATAAAGTAACATTTTCCAGCAGTGACGTCATGGTGCGGTAAGCCTAGCGCCATTCTCCCTGCTTTACAAGCTAAATCAATGGAAACTACTAGACACATCTGCAATAAACAACAATTATTGAAGATTTCCAGAGGACTTCACCATTGAAATTCACCAGAGCTATAGTGAAACTGACAATGCCCACGTGCATGGCAGCTGGATGCTGGAATACATCGGGTAAAAGTGAAAACATTCCACCTTTCTGATTCCTGATCCTCCACGGACGGGTTGGTCGTTGGATCGCCAACTTGAAGAGGGAGGATTTGCCATCGACCTTCTGGCCAGAGAAAAAACCCGTAATATGTAGCCAACATTTGGAAGAAGAATGTTTTCAAGATGACTTGGATAATAGCGCGTTGTGACAAACACCAGATACAGCACTGGGACTTGATCAACAGCCGATACCGCACCGTGACGTCACAAACCAGTAGGTGGCAGTAGTGTTCTTTGACAAACATGGATGCCTTCAGTAAAGCACATTCAGATAAAATTACTCTGAATTAAAAACACTGATCATTTATTGAACAGGATGTAATAATTTTATATTTAAAGTACTTTCAGAAGTTTGAATTCTGAATATTACCGAACTTCTCCTTTAAATAAACTTTAGATATAAACTTTAGGTGTTTTTTTTTTTTTCTTAAACCCTGCTGGTTTTTAATCTCTGCTACTGTAGGGGCTGTATGCTGGTTTACTGGTTGTAACTGGTTTTCATACATCCCAATGCAGTATTAGGATTACCGTATTTTCACGACCATAAGGCGCACCGTACTAAAAGGCGCAGTCTCAGTTATGTGTCCCATTTCTGTATTTAACACACACATAAGGCGCACCGGACTATAGGGCGCGTTTTTTATATACAGGTACATGTCCTCTACTACCTTTAAATAGCTCTACTGCGTATTTAAAAATACAGCGGGGGCAAAACTGAGTATGACTGTGCTTTATTCATGTATTTATTACAAAGTATTAATCAAACCTGGGTGCTGGCCGCGAGACAGACACATTGCAGATGACAGAGCTGGGATCACTCCTAAATTAACTTAAAATCCTGAAACCTGCCGACGGAATATGTTCGCTTTTATTACCGGTATCCTGGTGCCTGCAGTTTAAATTATTTAGATGAAAAACACCTGCCAGCCGCCGCCGGTGAACCCGGAGGCTACCCAGCCTACAGGCTGCTGTTGAAGGGATTTCTACTGTCGGTGCACCGCTGGTATGTGGGGGTCTGAGCGCCTCCGACAGAAATAGATAATCTGGATGAACTGACTGCAATTATTAAGTTTTCAGGTGGACTTTCTCACTTAAAAACATATTAAAACTACTTTATTCCCACTGATCACAGCAAATATAGCTGCAAGATTTAGATTATTTAGATGAAAAAACACCTGCCAGCCACCGCGGTAAAATGGAGGAGACCCGCCCAGAGGCTGCTGTTGAATTAAGTTTTCAGGTAGAAAAATAGAGCGGGAGCAAAACTGAGTATGATTGTGCTTTATTCATGTATTTATTACAAAGTATTAATCAAACCCATCAAAGTCATCATCCTCTGTTTCTGAATTAAACAGCTGCGCTAAATCAGACATGCCAATTTCCCATTCTTCACTGTCAGAGTCACTTTCCGTGCAGCGCGGCTCCTTAGAAATAATGCCGGCTTTTGCGAAAGCTTGAACAACAGAGCCAGCAGACACATTAGTCCAAGCATCAACAATCCATCCGCAAACGGTGGCGTAACTTGCCCGGCGCTGCCTTCCACTTATCCTGAAACTGTGGTCTCCGTCGGTCATCCATCGCTCCCACGCCGCTCGCAGCCTTACTTTGAACGGCCGGTTCACACCGATCTCGAGCGGTTGAAGCTCCTTTGTCAGACCTCCCGGGATAACGGCGAGCACAGAGTTTATTTTTTTTCACCATGTTTTTCACATCAGCTGTGAGACGGGCACGCATGGAGTTACATATTAACAGCGATGGTGATGAGTGGAAAAAAAAACACCTGGTCTCCTTACATTCAGCCACTCTTTCATCATCTCCTCAATGAGGTGGTCTCAAAAGTCGCAGTTACAACACACATAAGGCGCACCGCACCAAAGGGCGCACCACACATTTTGAGGGGCAAAAAAAGACGTTTATGTGCGCCTTATAGTCGTGAAAATACGGTACTTCGATTGGTCGGTTGGTTCATTTCCATACAGTTGTGAACACGTCGTGAGCGCAGAGATGAAGCCGGAGGGATGTGAGGGACAGAAAAGCTGCACCAGATTTAGAATTGGTCCAAAATTGGTCCGGTGTTCTGTCAGATGATTCTGTCAGCCATTTATCCCTTTAGTTTTGTACGAAAAATAAACTTTAAATGACCTCAAAAGGCGTGTATTCCTTTAGTCATACAAAAAAACTATTTATTTACTTTAATAAATTATTTTTCTGCATGACTAAAGGGATAAATGCCCGTTGAGGTAGTTTAAAGTCTATTTTTCATACAAAACTTAAGGGATAAATTCAAACCTGACATCTTGCGTATGCATATTGACTGAGTACGCTGGTCTGACAGAACACCGGCCAATCAGCATCGGCCGATATGCACTCAGCTCTGACATCACATCAAGCGTCATTAAGGATTTTCTTGTTTTGTTCATAAATGTTTCCTTTTTGTTGAAATTGTGTAACGTTGATCTTTGTTTTAAAAAAAAGCAGAATGAGTCCAAAAATAATTGTTTAATTCATTTTCTTTCCTTTTTTTTTGTTCATCCGTCCATCATTTATCCTTCTAACGTCTTCTTCTGGAGTTTGCAGTTTGCTGAGCGTCCATGTTTCTTTTTTCCATCTCTAACGCTCGTTTCCTTTTTCCTCCACAGCAAACAGAGACACAACAAGCTGTGGCGCTCCCACTCTGACAGCGAGCTCTCGGATCGCCCCGCCTCCACCTGCAAGCCGTCGTCTCCCACGCTGGGCCGCTCCGACTCTCACAACAACAACACCACCTCCTCCCCCTCCTTGCATCACTTCCTGGGCGTGGCCGTCCTGCAGGCTCTCAGTGCCGAGCCCCAGAGCCCTGCCCCCGCCCAAACGCCCGACTCGCCCGACTCGCTGTGCTCCAGTCTCGACACGCTGCCCAACGGCGACGGAGAGTCGGCGCCGCTGGAGGAGGCGGGGCCTGGGCTTCCTCTCCCCAGACCGCGAGCTGCTACAGTCATACCAGAGGAGAGGCCGGGCGCCTGGGCCAGCGTGGCTGTTACCGTGCCAGTGGCTCTGCCCCACCCTCCGCCTTCATTCCACATCTTACCCCCAACCCCTGAACCGCGGCGGCACCGCCGCCCTCCTCCCATACGTCTGACGCTTCCAGAAAACTACACGGCAGCCGAGCTGCCGCTCAGCAGCTCAGAGGAAACCTCTCCTGTCACTCTGGGCTCCAGTGACTCCGACCTGCTCGATAAATCCCCATCTGACTCTACGAGCGACAGGCGGAGCGCACCAACGCCCCCGCCGCTCGTCCTCGACTTCACTCCTAAAGACGACAACAACAACCCAAGCGAGCCGCAGGCAGGAGGCCCCTCGGACGGCCGCAGCGAGGCAGACGGCTCGTCCAACCACAGCACGGACAGCATCGACTTCTTCAGCGCCAGGGAGAAGTTTCTGGGCCTGGTTCAGGAAGGCCCGACGAGGAGCCAATCAGAGCAGCCGCAGCAGAGACCGCCGCTGTCGCCTGAGGGAGACGATGAAGAGGAGCGAGAGAACGGAACCAGTCAGGTACCGACCATCACGCTTTACCTCAGGCTAACAAAATGGCCGATTAAATTCAGTCAAAAAATCAAATATTTGTTACTAACTTGAGCAGGTAAATAAGATCCTCTGCCAAACGAACGACTATATTTACCCTTAGAATAAGATACCGTAATTTTCAGACTATTAACCGCGACTTTTTCCCCATTTTTCGACCTTGCGGCTTATCTATGGACTTTTACAGCTAACGGCCACTAGGGTGATTGCTAAATCTATGGATTTTACCCTCCACCATGTTGACGTCACATTTGCTTCAACACACAAGTACGGTAGCGGCGCGCGGAGGAATGCGGAGGTCCTCCGGAAGCAGACTTCTACCGCGAGTGGTACGAGACAGAACGACAGCAAGAAAGACGGACATTAAACATAAAAAACCTGCAGCTTATAGTCCGGTGCGGCTTCTATATGTACAAATCATGCAATTTAGCTTCTGCGGCTTATATTCAGGTGCGGCTAATAGTCCGAAAATTACGGTAATTAGATGACATAGACCTGAAATGATTGAGGCGTTTCTTTCTTTATTTTAGAAGAAATTCGTCTCATTTACACATTTGAAGAAAAATTAACTTATATTTTATTTTTTACAGTTAATTCACAAGGTTTTACACTTGGAAACAGTGACACCTTTTGGACAGTAGAGGAACAGTTCTGCTCTGTTATCAGTGACTATTTCAGACTTTAGTTGCTAAAGTCAGGCGTACAGTGTGCGATCTTTTGCCCTTTTTGGGTCGACTTTCAGCCTGATGGTGCATGGTGTAGTGTACAGGGGGTAACCAGGGGCGACCAACTCCCGATCAGGAATCGTAAGGTCGGGAGAAAATCAAACGTGTTTGATATTCAGTCGGCCGTTGTTAGGTGGTTGTGGACAAATCATTCAGTGGGCAAAGGAGGATTCTTCCTCTTCTTCTTAGAGGAAAATCCAGAAGCATGGCGGGGATGTAATGAGTGAAATTGCGTTTTTTCTGTAAAATTTTCTGTAAAAATCCGAGTAGCGCCACCTCACTGCGGCGCTGAGTCCCACCTGGTTTTTAGACGTACAGTTTGAGCAGGTAGATCGCATCAGAGCGTCGAGCTGCACAGTGTGAGAACAAACATCGTGAGCTGTGAACTTTTAAACCCTGCGGTTTCATCGTACAGTTTGAGATGTAGCTGCGTGCAACGACTGGAAATATCTCATGATCATATAGGATTTAAGCCTGTTGAGGTTTTTTTATATTTTGTCTACACAACATGAGGGGAAAAAAAGGTTCTAACTTCTTGTTTTTTCGTTTCCTCGCAGGAGAACTGTGACCAAACTCTCCATGACGACGGAGTGTCCGTCCGCCACATCGTCATTGAGATTGAAGCCATATCACACTCAGCCATTACTCCCTCCAGTCCCTCACCATCATCATCGCCGTCTTCGTCCTCCCGCATCGTCCTCGGTGAACGGCAGGATGAATCTCCCCCCACGTCTCCCTGCGGGCGGGAAGGTTCGGTCCGCCGGGCCACCGAGCAGCTGGAGCAGAAGCTGGCTCGCCGTTCACCCCCCCCACCCTCGCTCACTCAACGACAGAGCGTGGCCGTCTCTAAGGAAGCCAGAGACGCCGACGAGCCCGAAGGCTCTGAAAGCCCAGAGCGGCTGACCGACCTCGAACGAGTTCCCGATGCTAAACGTGACGCTGCAGACACGCGGACGTCTTCGCATACCGCCGCCGCTCAGTCAGCAGAATCATCTCTAGATACCTCAGCCCAGCCGCACAGCCAAAAGCTTCCAGCCGCTTTGAATCTGGACGGAGCGACGTTGGAGGACTCTGAAACGGACCGCTGTCCTCCAGGCGCGGCGGCGGCCTGCGGGCCCGGCTGTGAAGCCCGCAGCAGGCTGGCGCGCAGCAGCCAGGAGCTGGAGCGCATCCAGCAGACGCTGCGGGAGCTGCAGGCTTTTCTGCAGGACGGCGTCGGAGCTGCGCCGCCTCAGAGACCAACCGACCCCATGGACACAGAGTCGGGACATCATCCGGGCCCGGAGGCCGGGCCAAAAAAGGAGAGGAGGGGTCAGTTGGAGGCAGCGGGGTGGCACCGAGCCGTGGAGCTGGAGGCGCGTATGCGGCAGGCGGGCCTCACCCCCCCTTCCCTCATGAAGAGATCCGCATCTCTGGCTAAACTGGACTCGCTGGAGCTGTCCGCCAACGACCTCTGCGACCTGGACCTGAGGCCGCCCACCTCATCATCCTCAGAGTCTTCCTCTTTGGGACCGTCTCACGCAGACGACTCCTGGAAGAAGCAGAAAGTTCTCTCTCTATACTCTTGTGAAAAAACTCATCTGGCCGCCGATGAGGCGTCTCCGGCCCAGTCCCCCCCCTCCTCTACAGAAGACTGTAGCGGCGGCGCCGGAGCCTCGGCGCCGTCACAGCAGGGCAGGGGACACTCGTCCAGACGTCCTCGCAGAGCCTCAGCAGAGAGAAAACGAGCCATGGCCTTGCTTTACAACACCATGTGACCTCAGCGGAGCGGAAGCGACTGGAAGAGGCTGCGTGGTGCGTGAATGAGGAGCCGCGTGAGTGAGTGTGAGTGAAGACGATAAACCACTGGATGTTTCCACTGGAGTTCAGTAATATTATATGAATGTGTGAACCGACTCTGAAGCAGTGCAAACTCTGCGCTCCGTTACGTTCGGTTTCTCTTTTTAACGAGTCGAGCTCCTGAAACTGAAACCAGAGCGCCTTTTTTTTGTCTGTTTTTTCACAACATGCACTTTACCATGTAGATGATTTTTGTTTGTCTTTTATTTTAAATCCGTTTCTTACGCTGGGAAAGCTTGTTTTGCACTCTTCTCAGTAGACTCGTCTCTGTGGATTTGGACTTGTCTTTTCTCAGATTTTTAATTAAACCAGGACAAAGCTGAAATGTCGTCATTATTGTTTGTTTTTCTTCTTTTTTATATAAATCAGCGCTTCAGCTGTAAATAAAAATGGGAAGTATGTTTCAGCCGCAGGGACTCCTTTTTTCCTTTGTCTGAATGCAATATTTCAAATTCTCTTAAACACAATAAAAGTCCATCACCGCCACCTGCTGGCTAATTTTATATATACACCTATTTCTAAAATTTTATGCAGCAAAAGGAAAGAAAACAAACAGGTTAAAATGTGTAGTTTTAATTTTGACATTTAATGGAATGAGTTCAGTTAAACCTCTCATCTGTTATTTTTACGAACAGATAGGCATGTCCTTGAACGCACCACTGGGGCCAGCTTATTTCAGGCTGACATTTTCCCCGCTGCTTCATGGGGTAATTAAACACTCAGATGTAGGTCAGCAGATTCGCTCCGACACACAAACCAAAGTGTAACATTAAAAGAACGAAAAAGTCATTACAAATCAGATAAATGAGGCAAAAAAAAAAAAACTGACATTTTCTATAAAGGTTTGATTCTAGAAAAGTCTGGAAAGATTGAAAGAGGAACCAAGATGACTGAATTCATGCTTATAGATTAAAGCACTTTAACTCGTCTGCTTTGGTTCCTCATGTTTTTAAAGCCATATTTCTCCCATCCTGCATACAATACTATATAATAATGGTAAAAGGCCTGTACTTTGTAGTGGGGAATAAGTATTTAACTATTCACCCCAGTTAAATAAACGCAGATCGATGGATTTCACTCAGTCGGCACTTTATTTTCATATCTTTGCAAAGAGAGAACAGTTCATCATACGGCCCTCACTGCTCTGTAATCAGCCCTGTTCTGCCTGAGCAGCGTTCGTTCCCCCTTACCTACAACAATGGAAAGTAGTCAGAGTCAAAACCAATTAGACACTTTGGTTAAACAGTAACATGTTTGAATAACTATAATGGAGTGGCGGCCTAGTGGTTAGGGCTTTGAATCCTGAGATTGGGAGTTCGATCCCCCACACCCCCGGATTGCCACTCTGGCTCCCTGAGCAAGACCCTTAACCCCACACTGCTCCCCGGGCGCCGCACAATGGCAGCCCACTGCTCCCCAAGGGGATGGGTTAAATGCAGAGATAAATTTCTCCAATGTGAGATCAATAATGTTCAATTAATTTATTTTTTATTTATAAACCTTTAAAAAGAATCGGGCTTGTTTTGGGAAGAAGGCACCGGTATGTCTGGTCTACGAACATTCTCACGTAGGGGAATTGTGTGGCCTTGCAGGTGAAATAGGCTGAGTGAAAACTTTTATAGGGAGTGAATAGGATAAATTAATATATGAAATGGGGGAAATCTGAATTTCAAGTCAGGAGACTTGATCAAAGCACTTTACTCCACAATTAGTCATATACCCATTTACACCCTAATGATGGCAAATTCCATGGTATCCAAAGCTGTCCTGGGGCTCACCGACAGAAGCGAGGCTGCTGTACACTGGCGCCACCAGTCCCTCTGACCACCACCAGTAGAAAATGCAGGTGAAGTGTCTTGCCCAAGGACACAACGGCATTAAAACTGAACCAACAACCCTCTGATTTCAGGGCAAACTTCTGCACCCAACCTCACAGTAGACCCTGAAGCAGCGATTGAAACCAGCTGGTTGCATTTACTCTTGTTATTGTAATTAAATACAATTTTAAAAGTCTACAAATCTGAATTTTTTTACTGATACCAGTTTTATTTGGTTAATTTACTTGGTTACATTTGAAAAAAAAAACTGTTTACTGAGTAAATAAAATAAAACTAACTGGTAGAAACAGCAGTGATCCATTTGGGTTTCAGAGGAATCTGATTCTGATGCACTGTAAAGAAACAAAGTTAATTTTTCTATAATTAAGCAGGTAATGGAGACACTTTGCCAATGGAATTTATTGCAAGTAAATATCCAAATATCTTGGAAGAGTAAAAATAAACATTTAGACAATCTTACTTTATTTACCACCTCAGTTTAAGGAAAAATACACATTTTTAGATTGACAAATTTTTTTTTTCAGTACAAGATTGGTCATTATAACCTATACATTTAATAAGACTTGACATCTATCAATGTATGATCAAATATATCATGATGAAAAAATGAATCTCATTACTTGATCTGGATTTAAATGCAATTGCGTAATATATATAATTCATAACTTCACAATATTGTGACTCAGATTATTCTTATACAGTTTTGTTTTCTAGCCTCTTAACATCCACCTCATTTAGGGAAATTCTCGTTTATTCGGCATACCCAAATGGAAAAGCAAATAACTTAGGAACTGTAAGCCCAAATTACATTTGCAATACATTATTTTTAAGCTAAAGCCCTCTAGTTTCTGAATATATAAATTAAAATTGGGTGAGTCGAACACAGACCAAGCTGCATTCGTTCAAACATGACTCAAAGTTGATTTTTTTTTTATTCTTGGTAATGACAGGTCTTTTTTGAAAAGCAGTCATAAAGACATTTTTAAGAAAAGGCATTTCTCATTGTATTAAATTTGTTCCACATCATGTCAACCATAAATGCAGAAAATATCAGACCTCTAGCTATAATAGTTCCAGAGCTGTGGGGTTTTGAACTTTTGGTGTCACTTTGGAGCGGCGCGCAATGGCTCCACCTGCTGGTGTCTGTGTTTCTCTCTAAAATAAGCCTGTAATGCGGTACCCCTTTAAATAAACTGCACACATTTGGGCTCATTCAAAAGCTTAATTCATTGGCTACAAAGCCCAACACCCCACGTGGTCTTAGCCAATAACAGCAGAGAATTATGACGCGTAATATCGCTTATCACTGGCAGACAGGAAGTGGACTGGAAGTGAGATTTCGGGGACCATTATCTCGCTCATATCGCATCACAAAAATATGCAGACACTTGTGTCTTGTAGATAAGAAGACAATGTAAAGACCCATACCTACGGTGGCTGAGAAGTGCAAAACACATTTACAATTCAAAAACACATTAACAAATTAAAAACAAAATAACATTTGAAGAAACAAAATTATATTTTATGAAACAAATGTATTTTTGAAAAAAAAATACCAGAAGCATTAGAAATAAATATTAGCAAGATGCTGTGAATTAGCTAATACCAGCTAACTTTTCTGATGTCAACAACCGGACGTTATGGGCGATTTTCTCATCATGGAATATTTTTATTACTAATATGCAGGATTATTTTTAATCTATGGACCCTTATGGATGAATGGAGTATAAACAATTGAAGATGGGATATATAAAACGGCTTCTGGACGCCTTCAAAGGTATGTAGCTATGGCTGCTTTGTTTACATTTTGAAATGCTGCTATATCTGTGTTAATTGTGCTTTGAACCCACCGGGTCGGCGGTGACCCGGTGGGTTCTGAGAGGCTATGCATGAGCCATTTCAGTTTTTTGTCTTGAAAATTGGATACTTTACAAACTCAGAGATTATTTAAATCAATATAATCACTAAATTCCGTTCCAGATTTCCATTACAGCTCAGAATATTAATTTCTGTTGGCTATCTCTGACTTTACTTTATAAAATAAAAGCTGTAAGACCTGATTAAATGCTGCAAATGCTTATGGAGGCCTAAAAATAAAACAGATCAGATTCCAACATGGCCGCCTGTCATTTAGCTAGTAGCGGTGCTAACAAACCTACGTCAGCAGTTAAACGCAATGGAAAGAAAAGCTGTGGCAACAATTAGTGGAACAGTTTAACACGAAGAACAGAATATTAAACAGCTTTTTAATACGATGTGGCTATCATTTTATTTAAAGTATAATCAATAAAATCAACGAATAAGCAATAGAAAGTAGAAGTGGGATTAAAAACACGTCACTCATGGAAATATTAGAGGTTGGTGGAGTAGGCTACTCCCCAAAAAATCACTGAAATATTTGAGTTTTCCTTATAAGATAAATTTAACCCGTCTTTGGCCGAGTTTGATGCTTTCAAAGCTAAAAAAAAAAAAAAAAAAATGAAGGTGAGCTACAATGTTTTTCTTTGCAGCAGGACTAGCTAAATTATTTCTCTGTATTTAACTTCTGTGTTCATTAATTTCTTCTTTTAAAGGACAAGATGTTTCTTCTGTTTATATATATGTTTTGTGTGCAATGTATTATATAAATTACATTTTTGATTTTAAAAATAAAAAAGCCTTTTATGTCGATGAACTTGCAGCTAACAGTGCCGGTTCCAGAAAATTCTCATCGGGGCGGCCGAAAACTAATCGGCACCAAAAACATTTTACAATCGATCAATTCTGATGACAATAAATCAACAGGAGAATAAAAGAACACAACTTTTACATTTTCAAATAATTCCAAAAAAAAGAATAAAAGCGCTAACTAATAAAGCTAAGCACATATTTATACATCTGTGCTGTTTAAAATATTTAAGGTTCTCATAATATAAATATTAAAATGGTTGATCTTTATTTTTAATTACATTACAGGATCCTGACTGTAGAGACAACTCTCCTTTAAAACCAAAAAAAAAAAAATGAAATTGTAAAATAGCATGACTTCTGTATTATTCTCATTAATTTGATGTATAATGTTGTGTAGTAAATATATATAAGTATTTTTTGTTAGTTTTGGGGTATTAATTAAAGTAACTTTAAAAGTCAAAGGACTTTCCATGTGATGGTATCACTGCTGCCCCTTATGGTCTGGAGGAGAACTGCAAATTAAAATCTGGGGGTAACAGCAATTTAATGTGGTGGGGGGGGATCCACCCCTGTTCCTCGAAACTTTTAGGTTTATAGTCGAGCTACTGAGAAAAAACTAAACAAGAAAACAAAACACTTTTTCTATTGACTCCAGTTCAACTTTAATCTGTAAGTAAAATCAGTCAATCATTTACAACAAAGCTCACATTATAGATGGATGATTGATAGTTTATAGATTTTTCTTTTATTAATTAACTAGGTTACTACCTGATAAACAAAGTATTTCCAACATTTGTTTGGCATGCATAATATTATTTTTTAAATAAAAAAACAACAACTAATGAATGACTTGTAGTGTTTACAGATCAATTAATAACGCCCATAGTCTAATTATTAG